TCTGAAACCAGAGCCCAGTCTGCTCTGATTGGTTAGGTGGCTGGCTGTTGGGATTGGCTAAAAAAGATTTCCCGCCCCTTAGCCTATCACGTACAATGTGATGGAGTGTTAGCTAATAGAAGCGATTGTTATCTAGTGATGTCCAATGGAGGCGTTTAAGGCAGAGGGGGGGAGGAGAGGGCCACAGGGATTTTAGCCTTTACCATAAGCCTAAAGAAAACCTCCCAAAAGCATAAAAGTGGCCATTTAAACTTCTTTTTCAGTGCAGTATTCTATGGACTAGTTTCGGCACCATTATTTAGTGTGTTCATTTGAGAAAATTAGAGTTGTATTTATATAAAAAAAATGTTTTAACATGGTAACACACAGGGTCAGCAAATAGGTAAAAGCCATTGTTCATTGATCATTTTGATCTTGGCAAAAAAAAAACACTGAGAAATGTTTGTTTGATTTGTTTGTTTTTGGCATAGTCTCTATTAACTACTAAACAATGTAAATGGTGTCAGAGGCTAACGTTATAATTTATGACATTTTGTGAATTCAATCACATCAAACTTATAGATCAGATTTCCTTTATGTCCCAGGATATGGTTTTATCTCGTCAGCATCTCCAACATTTAGCTAGTTTGTTCTTAAAGTTCTTAGCAATATGACAACTTTGTCTTTGTGTGTTTTGGTCTCACCTCTGCACAGTAGACTGTGATGCTACACTCATGTTGTCCTCGTCCCAGCTTCCCACACTGTAAGTGTTGGAGTCCATGTTGGAGGTGTTTTCCTCTTTGTGCTGCCAGGGGTTACTGATCACAATATAATGCATCTCTTGATGTGCTTGCAGTGCACGGCTAAGCCTGGACACATAAGCTGTTTGTTAAGCATACTATTTGTTTTTCCATGATAAAAAATATGACATTAGCACAATGAACAAATGCAATTTGGTTATTGGTTGGTTGACTTTGGCAGTCATGATAGTCAGTGTTCAGCATGTATTTCTTGTCAGTTGCTGTTAAGGGCATGAGGTGGGAGAAATACTCAGATATTGTACTTAAGTTAAAGTAGAAGTATCAGAGTGTAGGAATACTCTGTTACAAGTGAAAATCTTACAATCAAAGTGTCAAAATTACAAAAGTATTACCATTAAATATGCGTAAAGTATCAAAAGTACTCATTATGCAAATTGGCCCAATCACAACCATATATATTATATGTTTTGATCATAATTATTTGTGTATTGATGTGTTTATCTAGTTGATAAAGGTGGAACTAACTTAAATTATGTAATGTATTGCTGGTTAGCTGTTCGATTTAATCCAGGTGTAACTGAAGTCTTATTTAAGTGTTGATCATACTGTTGATCATTAATCTATACCTGCAAAGTAACGAAACTCCGGTTGAACTACAAAGTAGCATAAAATGGAAATACTAAAGTAAAGTAAAAGTAGCTCAAAATTGTACTTAAGTACAGTACTTGAGTAAATGTACTTAGTTACTTAAGACCACTGATTAAGTGTCACAACAGAAGCCATTGGCTCCATAATGTGCTTCTGTGATACAAAATACATAATGCTGCCATTTGCGAAATTCAGAAAGGAGAACAATTCTGGGTTTTGAGAAAGCAATGTTTTTGTATTACTTAAAAATGTTTTAATTAGTAAAAATGGAAGGGTTACAATCTTTCCTTGAACAATTTGAGTCTTCAAAGGACCTTTGGAGGCCTTCTCTGTGCCTTTGATCATACACAGTCTATGAGGCTGACGTTGAAATACATAATGTACAAGTAACTTTTCCTTACAGCACCGAGAAGCTTGATGCTGTATTTTTCTTGTGTGGTTTTATTATATAATATTATCATGTTGTATTATATCAGAGGGAAGTCATTGTTTCACATCGGACGTTTTAGAGACGTTACTTAGCGTTGAGACTTCCGGTGTGCCATAATAATACCGCTGCGCGTATTTCAGGTTTGTTTAACCATTTCATCTGCTCGCTGGTTCATTTAATTATTTTCTATACTCAGGCCTTCAACTTCACAAACCAATACAGCCATTTATGCCCCAGTTTAGAGCTTAACCAGCTGTACTAACTATCCCGTTGAAATCACCTTGTTAGCTTCAGAAGTTCTTTAGCAACTGTCGACCATGCTAGTGTTAGCTAGCTAGAGTTAGCTAATGTGTTAGCACCCACCGCTGGAATCACAACATTCACAGTCAGAAGTAATACACTCGTGTATCATTTTCGTCTTATACACACACACTGGTTTATGTATGACAAAATCCTAACTATGTTGGAAGGCTAACTAAGTCTACTCGCAACGTCAATTGGCCTGTTAATGTTAGCTAGATAAATGCTACATGCTGTTGTGATGTACCGTGTAGTTAGCGTGAGTTGACCAACACAGATAATAGGACACTCAGTGACAGATAAGCAACATACATGAATTATTCGTATGCGATTATATAACGTTTGCTAACATGACTACATCTGCTGTGTTTGGTATGTTGTACGTTTATTTCGGTGGGGCAGCATTGGGAATAGCACCGCACGGGTATAATCATTACAGTACCTTTACGTTTTTATACGTCTCAATTTAGGAAATAACTTCCGATTTACAACAAGACCTCATAATCTCAAATATTGAATGTTAATTCAACATTTTTCACATACTTAACAAGAAAGTAAAATGTTAAAGCATATTCCAACAAATAGATAATGGATCTGATATAAACATATTGGATTATTTTATTCTTTATAGGCCTAACTCTTCATATTCAAAGAAGGCTGAAGTTATATCTAATGTGTCCTTGTTTGTGTGTGATGTGGAGCAGGCGGTGGAGAGTGGACGCTGATGGGGGACGAAAAGGAGACCTGGAAAGTTAAAACTCTTGACGAAATCCTACAAGAAAAAAAACGCAGAAGAGAATTAGAAGAGAAAACGGATCCCAAGCACCAGAAAAATGTAAAGTAACTTAAAGCTTATTTTTGACCAACATTGCCCCTTACATGTTGATACAGTATTAAACAAATTGTAACTCCAAGCCATTTTTTCCCTTTCTGCCTTTTATTTGCTGTAGAAGTTATACATTAAAATGGTAAGTTTAATAATCAATAAAATATATGGAAAATCGTATTGAATAAATCAAAGCTTCAAAACATTGTCTTATCATTGTAATATCTATGACTTACTTTTTGCTTTTATAGAAGACTTTAATGCCACATTCTCGAAATGCTATTTTAATACTTACAGTAAGTAACAGTTCTGTTGGGAACAATAAATATATTTTATGTAATTATTTACTTTTTGAAAACATTAAATAGTGTTAGCTAAATTCCAAATGTGCTTTAACCACAATTTTGGAAAATTCATCTTTTCGATTACCACCATAATCAAACGGCATGTTATCTTTCAAAGTTTCATTGCAATAAATTGAGTCAAAGTTTACAAAACTTCTGAGCCCGCAGTCGTTCAAATGAAGGTGCATACAAGTGTTTGTCATAAACATCCCTTATTTTTGGCAAGTAGTATGAGTCTTTCAATAGGCGACTGTATGTCTTGTGTATTTACGTCCATTTGCTGGGAATCAACGGTTAAAGGCTGAATCCCAATATTTCGCTTCCAACAACATTTCCTGAAAAACAGCTGCAGACATGTACACACAGAAGGCAGCACACGACAAACTATAATCCTTAAACATAGTCATAGGGGAATAAGGGTTCAGACTGTTTATACCGCTCTTTTTGTCTTGCACAGTCCTCTCAGGGCCTTGTTCCACAGTCGGATGATCGGGAGACCAAACGAGATACCCCGGAGGAAGGAGAACTACGGGATCAAAAGATGGAAATAACAATTCGTAATTCCCCGTACACACGGGAGGACTCAACAGAAGACAGGTACATAAACCACAGTACACAAATATGTGTATTTTCACAGGGGAAGTAGTATGTTTGCAATAGTTCAAATTCAAATCATGTGTGACATGTTTTTCTTTATTTCTATGCAGGGCCGAAGAAGATGACTCATTAGCAATCAAGCCACCACAGCAAATAGCAAGAAAAGACAAGTCTCACCACAGAAAGGAGGAGAAGAGAAAAGAGAAAAGACGTCACCGCAGTCACTCTGCTGAAGGAGGTACGAGCGTCGTGAACACCTGAACCCAACATGTTTGGAGCTATTTTTGAAGTAAGGGTCTCCTCAAAACTATGTTTCTTTTACTTGTACATCAGGGAAACATGTTCGACCCAAAGAGAAAGAAAAAGAGCGAGAAAGTGACCGCAGGAACCGTCAGTGGGAAGAAGACAAAGCCCGGAGAGACTGGGAGAGGCAGAAACGAAGGGAGCAGGCCAGAGCTCACTCGCGCAGAGAGAGGTGAGCATCTCAGTGGAAAGCACATATTAGATTAGCTCGGATTCATTCAGGCACAGAAGTATTTGTCCTTTTTGATTTTCACTTGAGTTTAATTAGGATTCATGTTTTTGAACGTTTTGTTGGAGTAAGAATTCAACTTGCCAGGATGTTAAAACGATTGAGCTACATGAGAACTTTCTATTTATCTGCTACTGTCTTTCAACTGTATAGCTGCTGTGGATTTACATGTACTTTATGTGACGTACTGGTCATAGTTTATTTGAAAGTTTCTCACTCAAGTTCAGATGGCTAAATTGCAGGTGTATTTATATTAAAATATATATACATATTCTATGTAAACAATGCAGATTGAAATGGACTCCCAACAATTGTCCAATATTAATGATGAGTATAGCAGTGAATGTACCTGAGAAACAAACTTTAAAGAGTTGAGTTTGTGTGCATTTGGGGTGCACATGGTACTTTATAGCAGGCCCCCAGTTGGAGAAACAAACAGGAGAACCAGCACAGAAGTATGTAATGTAGTACTGTGGACTGGGCGGTCAGCAAAATGTTTTAGGAGCTAAAAAAGTCCCACCTAAAAGAATCAATATCTGTTTAATCGTTGGCTATATTTAGATTTTCTTTTCCCTCTTTACTTTGCAGTCAGACAGCCGTTTCCAACGAGGAACTGAAGCCGTTATCTAATCTCTCTTTAATACCATCAGACTCCATTGACAAAAAACGGTAATTAAACATTTCAAAGCGTGGTTTTTGCTGCTGCCTGAATAATTATGTCTGTTTTTGTAATTGTGCTAAAGAATTCAAACAAAATACACAAATAAACAAACGTACAGATTGTTCCATGAGCTGCATAACAGCTTCAGTACCTAGTCAGAAAGGTCTGTCTCACTGCAACGTGACGTGGCAAAATAAAGTGTATTCATAGCGTATTTAAAAACTGATGTTGAATTAGTTAGGTTGGCCTTTTTTAGGTGGCTGAAAAGCATTTGGCTGCTGCCCTGCCCTCTGCAGCACATGGCTTCATGCCGTTACTCATGTCTGTTTCTCCAAACTGCCATCTAGTGTATACATACACAAACAAACATTGACAAGATTGGGCTTTTGGTTGTCTGAACAGACCCCGATTGGATTCTCCTGGGTTTTTTTTGGACCACAGGGACCGGCTGGAACAGCAGGAGCGCCAGCGCGAGCGAGACAGGAAGCTGCGCGAACAGCAGAAAGAGCAGCGGGAGCTGAAAGAGCGGGAGAGGAGGGCGGAAGAGCGGCGCAAAGAGCGAGGGGGGCGGCGAGAAGGTCGGTGAATGAGTAGAGGTGTGGGATATTTGTGTGTGTGTATTGGGACAGATTGAATTATAATCCTAAACATTGAAAGCATACATGCTCAGAAACACATAAGCTAACTGTTTATCTGTGAAATGTCAAAAGACAGAAACTGAGAGAATGATGGTGTAATGCTAAGGGATGGAGATTATGAGAGATGGAGTTGGTAGCTAAGGACAAGCATGATTGAGACATCATTCAAAATGACTTAGGAACTGACCTAGGCTGAAATCATAAACAAATATGATTGAGTAGGGGAATTCAGGATGGTAGAATAAATAATGGTGTCTTACGTAATGGTGAAAATCAAAATGAAGAGCATCAAGATCAAAAAGGAGAGCCTGAGACTCCCCTACTACCTGAGATCGTCCGATGCTCCACTAATTAGATTACTGCTGGGATGAAAGAGAAGTGGGCTACACGGACACACAGAAGGAGAAAACACCTGATAAGAAATGTGTATTTTTCCTATTACTCTGTGAACTATAATGCAGGACTCATTGAAAAATGAATCTACCCTATCCGCAGTGCCGTCCGCCCATAGGCTGCTACCTGAAGATTATGATGACAAGCCAAAACAAAGTCACCGCAGCCGAAGTCCACCCCGCGTTCCCCGGGACAGATCGGATCTCAGCGAACCCAGGAAGAGTGGAAGTAAGTAGATAAGGTCACAATTTCTATATAACAATTAAAAAATCCCTTATAAGCTTCTATGATATTCTAAACTGTATCATGTACAATGACTCAGTTTCCCCGACATCATCATCATCATCATCGTCTCATACGCCTGCAGCCTCTAAGGAGGAGAAGCAGGAGGGCAAAGACCCACTGGCAGACCTCCAGGACATCAGCGGCAGCGAGAGGAAGACCAGCTCAGGAGAGTCGTCCATGGGTAAAGGACTAGTTCACCTACACTTAAAGCAAAGCACACATGTATATTTTACTGCAAAATACTTTATCCTTTCCAATTACTCTTTCTAACTTTTTGGATTGGACATTTTCAATGGAAACTGGATTATTCCTCATTTATGTCAGTCATTAATTATAACACAAATAATACACTATTTATATTGCACCTTGGCAAGTGCTTTCACTCAAAAACAAATGCCATTTTACATCACATTCTATGTTAGAACAAATAAAGGATTTCTGATTTAATACACACATCAAATAAAAACATTCTAAATCACAGGCTTAAACAAACAAACAGTCATAAAACATCAATAAAATCACATTAAAACATTTCTAAAAACATATAGCTTTGAACTTAACAAGAAGGGGATGAGCCAGCAGATATCTGCGTTAAATAGCTTTCAAATATAAAAAAAAAACTGTTCTCGTATCATTCACCTTCTCCAGCATCAGGATCAGGCTCTGACGAAGAGGACGACAATGACGAAGACGGGTCCAGCAGCCAGAGTGGGGGCGAAGAAGAGGAAGGAGAGTCTATTTCAGGCTCAGGAAGGTCTGAGCACAGCGCAGGTAAAACCGCTGTTCCACTGCTCTGGTTAAAAGCCTGTTACGGAGAAACGCAGCTTTAACTGTTCCCTTCCTCCCTTTCAGAGGACGTGAGTGAGGATGAGCAGTCAGGGGAGGAATTTGAAGATGAGAGGGAAAATGGGAATCACGTACCTGCAGGTATTTGACATCTGGGAATATAAAGATGTATTTCTTTCTTATGATTCAAATGTCCTGCAGCTAGATCGAATCGTTATTATTTAAGATAAGTGCAAATAAAAAACATTTCAACGGTTAGTCTGACAAGTGTTTTAAACTAAACTGACTTTCCTCCACCTCACAGTGACAGAGTCCCGCTTCGATCACGACTCCGAGGAGAGCGGTGAGGACATGGAGGAAGACGAAGACGGGGAGGACACGGCAGGAGAGGGCGACCCCACGCCTCAGTCTCAAACTCATTCTCGCTCCCCCACCCCCGAAGAGAACTACATCCCAGACTCGCCCCCGATTTCACCTGTGGAGCTGAAGAAGGAGCTGCCCAAATATCTGCCTGCTTTACAGGTCAGCAACAACATAATGCAAATGTTATTCTGGCCTAAATGTGTTGATGTTGGCATGTGATGCGATCTAGCAGTATGTCGAGGTCTTCAATCAGAGTTTGTTGATTTTTGTCAGGGTTGTCGCAGTGTTGAGGAATTCCAGTGCTTGAACCGAATAGAAGAGGGGACCTACGGCGTGGTGTACCGAGCCAAGGACAAAAAGACCGGTATGAACATGAACACTTAGGTCCAAATACTGTTGTGGTTCTCGTTGTGTTTATGGTAAAAAATAACGGGTACTGCCTCGTGTTTGCAGATGAAATCGTGGCCCTGAAAAGGCTGAAGATGGAGAAGGAGAAGGAGGGCTTCCCCATCACCTCTTTGAGAGAAATCAATACAATCCTGAAAGCTCAACACCCAAACATCGTCACAGTGAGGGTGAGAGATACTCAATCTTATAATTAACACTTTTATTGTGTGTCCTTAAGTGTTCAACTAACTCTAAACTTTGCTCTCCCCCCTATATCAGGAAATAGTTGTTGGAAGTAATATGGACAAGATCTACATTGTGATGAACTACGTAGAACATGACCTGAAGAGTCTGATGGAAACCATGAAGCAGCCCTTCCTGCCAGGTACAATGAGACGATGCTACACACTTGAACTAGAATGGGATAGAAACGAGTTTCAACACAACGTTTCTCTCTCAGGTGAAGTGAAGACTCTGATGATCCAGCTGCTGCGAGGTGTCCGACATCTCCACGACAACTGGATCCTCCATCGCGATCTGAAGACGTCCAATCTGCTGCTGAGCCACAAGGGGATCCTCAAGGTAGGACCGGACTGTGGCCCCATGAACAGAAGCTAGGTAGTACTTTCCTTGGCAACAGCTGGATCCTTTATGGCAGCTCAGAGAGTCAGTCATTTCATCTATAAAACTGTCTTTTAACAGAATAGTTAATTTTTTTCCATTTTACTTCAACATTAGTGTTTTTTACAGACTAATTGGTCTCTTAGATATTATCTTATGCCCACAGTATCCAGCTTTTTATAGGAAGTTCAATATGTAAGTGGCTCTTGCAGTTATTAGGCGCGTTCACACAAAGTACTTTTCCCACAAAGGTTCCTGAGAACTCTTTAGTTCTCAGGAACTAAGTACAGATCGCGTTCACACCGGAATAAGTCCCTGAAGAGGATTAGGCAAATGAATCCGCTGACGTCACTTCTTCTT